ACTACCTACTACCTACTACCTACTACCTACTACCTACTACCTACTACTACTCCTGCTGCTACTACTACTACTAACTACTACTACCTCTACTAACTACTACTACCTACTACCTACTACTTACTACTTACTACTTGCTACTTGCTACTCACTACTTACTACTTACTACTTACTGCTACTGCTACTACTGCTACTACTTTTACTAAGGCACTTTGCTACTAGTAGCTTCTTGTGACTACAAAAGGCTCCTCTCATAAGGGTCAGCGACGCCGCGAGCGACATGGCCGCTTTTGGGTCGCTGGGTGGGTGAGGCCACTAAGGGGCAGTCTTTCATGCTTTCAAGGAGCTATCCCCATCACCTTGCCCTGCAAACCCTCGGAATGATGGGGTTCTCCAGAAAAATAACGATGCACCTGTTCCTATTAGCTTCTTGTTACTACTAGTAAGGCACCTGTTACTACTAGCGTGGCACTTGTTCCTAGTAGCTTCTTGTTTCCGGCAAGAAAGCAGAACGTCTGGAGATCTAGAAGTATTGGGCTGCAGAGAGAGTTGATGGTGATGCTGATGATGGTGGAGATGGTGGCGGCGATGGTGATGGTGGTTGGCGGTGGTGATAATGGTGATGAGTCGCGATGGTGATGGTGACGGTGATGGTGGTGGTGACGGTGGCGGTGGTGATAGAGGTATTGGTGGTGATGGTGGTTGCGATGATGGTGTTGATGGTGGTGGTGAGGATGGTGGCAAGTGTGGTGGTGGCGGTGGTGAAGCGGGGCACGAGCCCTTCCACCAACCCCCGCACGACCAAATGGTAGCGCACGAAAACGCGTGCTCTTGCTAGTCCTCTTCAGTGTCCGGCTGGCAAAAAGGCAGCTGCGAACGCAACAGCAGGATTCGATGAAATTCTCGGTTTGGAGTTCATCACTCCATCGTCTCTCAAAAATCAAGGCTCTGCCTGCCTTTGCCAGCTCAACCTGCCCTTTTTTCATCCTGATCTTTAACAGCGCGAGAGTGTAGGGTAGGGAGGTGTCTAGTGATCTTGGGCTGGAGCACCCATGAGAGGGAGCACATTTGCCGTGCCTCCCACGAAGTCTGCGCTTCAAGGTTCACAAGAGACACAAAGCCAAAAACAAAGAGACCTGGATGCTGACTGACCTAAGGAACCAACTGAGTCGCAGGAGGCCAAAGACTCACAGGAGGCTTGTTCTGGCTGTATTTGCACTCTGACGTGTTTCTTTTTGCCTTCTGGGTTGGGAACAAAGGAAGTTGATCTGACAAGTCAGACGAATGTTTCAAAAATATTTTCGATCATGACTCTGACATTATGTGTTTTCTGACCAACGTGAAGGGTATTTGTATGTCGGGTAAGTCTGTGAAAAGGAGCGATGGTTGGTGGCTTGGTCCATCCTGGGCCTTTGCTGCTGTAGCCCTCGCGATTTTTTGGCAGCCAAAGCGAAGGAGCTGCAGACTTGAAGTTATTGCAACATCCCGACTTCATTTGAAGTGTTGTCTGAAAACAGTTCTGTTTAAGGAAGGTCTGAGGCTGTTGTTGGTGTTTACCTTTTCAGGATTGTGTGTACTTGCCACGCAAAACACCTCAAACCACGTTTCATTGTGAAGTGACTGGCAAATGCACCAACTGTAGATGTACGCAGACGCATGTACTTTCAGGTAGGTTCTTCGTGCTCGTTTTGGCACGATTCACTCTTCAGGAGATCCTCGGTTTCTTCCCTTTGGAGTTGAAAGGGAGGACAGGGAGTCTCCACAGAATACACGCAGATTGCAGTGTCGGTGTGAAGTCTGGTTTCTTCAAAAAATCCCGATTATTGAGGGGAAGCAAAACAATATGTTAAGTTCCATTCTCACAGCTCCACTGTGTTTGTTGGATGTCTTTCAAGCTCCCTTTGTTCAAGACTGGAATTAGCGACGTGTCCTTCGCTCCAGCACATCCACTATCCTGATTCATGTTTCGTGTTCGCTTGCTCGTTCAGGAGCCCATGGGATGCAGCTTGGCATGACAAGACATTGATTACTTGGGCATGTCTTCTTTTCCTACCCGAGGTTTGGTGAAATTTTGGGCTCCAGCAATCCTAAGCAACTCCAGTTTGTGTCAGATTTCTGAACACCCAATTGAACAGCCACACCCATTGTCGTGAATCGCCAGCTGACAGGCCTCACGTGTGAACTGCCACGCAGCACTGCTGCAGTGCAGGGACTTTGTGGCACTGCTGGTCAACGAGGCTTGGAATTTCCTCCAGGTACTCCATCAGCTAGCCCAGACATCGCCACTAGGACGCTACTAGGTACTACTAGGGGCCCAGAGCCAGCGAAAGAAGTGCTATTGACATGCCTCACTGCCTCACACACAGTTGGCCAAGGATTCTTGACCGAGCCACACGGCTCTATGGTTTGAAGGTTAGAACGGTAGAATAGAAGGTGCGCTTGTGCAAACGAATGGCGATGGCCTCCCCCTAGCAATTAGCTTCTAGTTACTAGAAAGCTTCTAGTTGCTAAGAAGCTTCAAAGACATACTAAAAAGCTTTCTTGCTACTAGTAGCAATGGCCTCCAACCTAATAGCAATGGCCTCCACCTAATAGCGTCCTTGCTACTAGTAGCTTCTTGTTACTAGTAGAAATGCCAGGAGCTACTAGTAGCATCCTTGCTCCTAGTAGCGATGCCCTTGTTCCTGGTAGCTATGCACCTTGCTACTTGTAGCTTCTTGTTACTAGGCTGAGTTGGCCCGGCAGAAGAAATTTGCCAATCAGGCCTGTCGCTGCAGGGCTAGAGTCTTCATGCTCATTTCTGCACTGTGAGTTTCCGCTGTCTCAACTAGGGCTTTTAACAAACAGGGCTATCTAGTCGTCAGATTCCTGAGCGTTCAACTCCTTTCTCAATGGAATTGCAATGTGAGATTCTCAATCTAGTAGCTTCTTGCTTCTGAGGCACTTGTTTCTAATAGCTTCTTGTTACTACTAGTAAGGCACCTGTTACTAGTAGCAATGGCCTCCAACCTACTAGCTTCTTGCTTCTAGTACTTCACCGTGCAAGTAGCAAGGGGGGGGCTGAAGGCCAAAATCTGGATTTTCATTTTTTGGATTTTTATTAGGAGACTTCTTTGTGCTTTTTCTGTTTCTTTCAGACCTTGTTTGCTTTTTGTTTGCGCTTCACCAGATTTGTCATCCGAACCTGCTCTTTACAAGCATGGCGGTTCAGGAAGACCACACGTTGCATCCGGAAGTGTTGTGAAGTTGCGTTCAGGTGGCTGCACCTCCAGCGGTCCTGGCGCAGAATCTTCACGCTATGTTCGACGCTCTTCTGGACAATGCGCCACTCGACTACTCATTATTCGAATCACAAGGCTTGTTTCTCTATAATTACAAGATGAGGCAAAAGTTGTCGTCGAACCAAAAGATGCAGAAGGGTTTTTAGGATACTTGATTGCATGGTGTTTTTCCTTGATAAGTGTGCCAGATCTGACGATCAAGGACAAACAATAGGTTTTTCCTTTTCACTTGGTTAACCCACGGAGCTTCCTTAGCTTTCGCCCACAGGTGCAGCTCCGATTCGCAGAAGGCAGGGGCACGTTGGGCCAAGTGGTCAAGCGAAATCGCGGTGCACAATCGGACCATTGACAGGGTCCCAATGCTGCCCTACAACGTCTCTTGGGTGTGTGCCTATTCCTCAGATGAACGAAAGAGAATGGATCTGATGGAATGCAATGAGTGCTTTTTCTTTAGGCCTTTTCATCCTCATGTTTCTTTCATGTTGACATCTGCTGTGCATTGCGGTGCATTTCTTGCAATGAAGACAGCTGTGGCACATGAATCGAGGCATGCTTCGATCTGCAGGTCCGGTCGCTCAATGCCTCTTCCGGCTTGAAGGGAAAAGGCATTCTTTGTTTCACAAGAGGAAACACAAAGGTCTAAAGAATCAAAAGCAAAAAAGAAGTGTAAAAGGTCTAAAGAAACACGTATGGGATTCCACTGAACCCTTGCTGGTGTCTTCCTGGTGTCTTCGGATTCAACGTTTGTTCTGGGATGTCATGCTGACGGTCTCCATGACCCGCATGGCCGCATGACAGGCATTGAAGATCTTGGAGACCACTTGTCGGTGCATCTTTTGGAGCGCTACAAGGAGGCGCCACTAGTAACAAAGGGCATCGCTACTAGGAGCAAGGATGCTACTAGGAACAAGGGCATCGCTACTAATAACAAGGGCATTACCACTAAGAGCAAATAGCTACTAGTAGCGTCCTTGCTCCTATCTTCGGGATCGAACTGAGCCAACCAGCGGGTTGGATCGATCCATGCCATGGCCAGTGCCATGACCTTTGACACGATACAACTAGTAGCGATGCACTTGTTCCTAGTAGCTTCTTGTTACTACTAGTAAGGCACCTGTTACTACTAGCGTGGCACTTGTTACTAGTAGCGATGGCCTCCAACCTAGTCGCGATGCAAGGTGAGATCTGCCAACCTTTGCCAGCTCCTTCTTCGAGGCCTGGCGTGCAAGCTGGCTTTCTTGTCGCAGACAGATATCTAAGCCTTCCCACTCGAGGCTCGATGAAGTCAAGACTCCGGCGGCTTCTTTCAAAGCTGGTGCCGAGAATGGTCAAAGATCAAAGGATGGACCGGATCAAGGACAGTGAGCTGCTTGCTCTGCATGGGAGCTGTTTAATTTGTTTCTTTTCGGAAGATAGTTCAGGAGCTCATGCATTTCCTCGACCAGGCAAGTCTATTTTGTTTGCAACCGATTCATTTCACGACTCTTCAAGAATTTGGAGACAACGACAACAAGTCAATTTAACCTTGCACATTGTGCAAGATCCACTTTCCTAGACTTTCATTTTGTTTCTTGTGTTTGGTTCATTTTCGTTTGGAGGCCATCGCTAGTAGGGTGGAGGTGATCGCTTCTAGGTTGGAGGCCATTACTACTAGCAAGAAGCTAGTAGGTTGGAGGCCATCGCTATTACTGTCGGGTGCAAGGACTTGATGCCATCCTTCACGCCCTTGCTGCCCTACGTCCTGAGTGAAGTCGCAGAAGAGAACGTGGCTCGTTTGTTACGGAGATGACAGTAACAACGCCACAACAACTTGGGTTGTTTGGGCCCTCTGAAGCCCTAGATGCCTCGACATGGCCCCCTTTGCATGCAATTATGCTGGATGCATTGGTGAATATGGCTATCATCACTTGGTCTTTGAGTTCGTGTTCAAAAGGATGGGAGCTTTCGTAAGATCCTCCGCTCTTTTGGATTTGGGAACTCCGGGTCCCCCAGTTCCCTCTCCAAACTACTCAGGTCACCCGCATCGCCGCATCTTTCCGCTTTGTCGAACAAGTCTACGAGCAGAAGGCGCTGGAAGAAACGACGAATCCTTCAATCTCGGTGGTGTTTGAACATGCTGCATGTCGTAAGTGTTGAAAGACATGCAGAAACTGATAAACATTCAAAGAATAGGCGATCCATCGTTTCCAAAAGCTTGAAATCTACTTTCGCATCGGAAGTTCCGACATTGCTGCATGGAACCCCCAGCCCCATGCTGGTAAAAAGAAGCGGAATTTTGCATGATGTTTGACATGTTAGCACAGATGTATGATGTAACGAATCGGATGCAATGAGTCAATGAGTGAGTTCCTCACAGCCTGACAAACCCTGAGCTGTGTCGACACAACATCGCAGAGCTGCGTCGACACGCCGTGCGACAGTTGGCCATCAACGACATTTGCGACGCCCACTGGGGGACTGTGCTCGTGCGCATTCTTTGGAACAGCGACAAGCAGTTGCGCATCGAAACACAGGTGTCTCATCCCCAGTTAACCAGTGGGGATTCACTGTAACCAAGAAAAAGACCGTGGGAGAAGGGAAAGGTCTAAATATGTCTCCAGAACAAAACAAGAGATGAAGAATAGCAAAGGGAAGAAAAGGAAAAGACAAAGGGATCAACTCTGCACATGGGGTGGAGTTGCCTAGGGCCTAGATCTACAGTTCAGGAAGATCGTCACCAAATCAAACTGCCATTCAAGCGATGAAGTCGAAGTGACACCCGACTCAAATGGAACGATATGTCAAAAAACAAAAGGAAGTGAGATCTTCAGATGCTACGCTGTAAATTAGACCCACCTCATAGCAATGCTTTGTGATTTGAGCTATTTCATGCTATTTGCATACTGCATACCTTAGCTGCAAATCAGAAGGGTTGGGCTCAACATGGCTCAACAAACATGCTGCATTGCTCCTCATCGCTGTTGGGTCGATTTCCTTCTGCGGCTGGAGGTTGTAACCCATGCTTGAGCCAAGATCTAACTAGTCTCCGCCTGGATTTGTTTTGCAAAGAACACCGCTTTGCATGGAGGTGGCCTGAGGTTGAGAGATGCAAACAAGCGACTGCGTGCATCACACGCCTGACACAGGTGGGCAGGTGGGTTGTGATGAGGGGTGGATCGTGTTGAATGCTTCTGCAATTATCACAATATGTTGAAACTCTAACTAACCGGTGTTCAAGAGTCAGAGTGCTGCGAGTGTCTTGGACTTTTCTGCCATTGCCATGTGCTTCTCCTAGCAAGCACCCGACACATGATGGTTTCGCCAGGCTTTGCCTGAGAAAAGTCAGGACACTGATCAGAGGGGCAGCCTTTCTTGCTAAGAACTACTTACAGTAGACTTTGACCGGTTTTGCCGATGCTGCTTTTGTGGGGGGCACTTAGCAGACTTATATACTACTTGCACGTTGCATTGGGCAGGACTCGAAGCAACGTGAGGCTGAAAAAGGCCCTGTGACCAAGAAGCGCCGTGGGGAGAAGAGCGTCATTGACGTGGATCGACCACTGGCGGCATGGAGCGATTTCCCGATGGAAACAAAGATCAAGTCATCCCACTTAAAGGATCATCTCAAATCCCAACTTAGGTTGCTACTAGGGGCTCCTGGCCATTGCTACTAGGAGCAAAGGGCATCGCTACTAGGAGCGATCGGACGCTAGGGGCGGTTGGTGGCCATCGCTATTTAATTTTAACGGCGGACCGATGGAGCCGTGTTCCGGTTTCGCTCCGGACCGAGGAGTGGCCACTCCCACCGGGCTCACAGAGAGTGGCTTTCTTCATGCCTTGGATATTTTACAGATTGTGATCTCTGACTCGCGCGAGAATCCCAAGTGGCAGGAGCTGCATCGCCGCTGCTGCCGTGCTTTTGCCGTCATGTGTTTCAAAGAAGATCATGAAGCTGCTGTGCTTTTGAAGGTGCTGTGCATTATGGTAACTTTTGCTTTGACGTAAACCATGTTGTTTTAAATATGCCTCGATACCGTTTGTCTGTTTCACAGGCCCATGAATTCGGAATGGCCTTATAGCTGGAAACCGAGTCCCGACCCAGGAGTATCGTCAACTCCTAGAAGATCCCGAAACTGTTCGCGGCCCAACTTCGTGTCCCAGCGGGTCAGAAATGGAGGCCCTTCGCGTCGACTGTTTGGTTTCGGTAGGATTGGCCTGGCCCAAGAGCAAACAGTGCCAACAGGGACCTACTTTCAGAACTGGACACGTTAATATGGTTGTTGCAGCCACTTGCCGAATCTTGCAATCAACATGCACCCATGGTTGTTGTTTTGATGTGACATCCTGTTCGGATATTTATTTTGATGTCAGGTACCTCTGGACATGCCACGCTTCCTTCGAAGTGCATCTGTGCTGCTGGAACTCCTTGGCGAACAGCTGCATCGTTTTGCTGTGAAGATGTTTGAATTCTTGTGGCTTGTAATAGAAGCGACTTTGATGTTGTCTTTGTGTGCTGTGTTTTTGTGTATGTTTCATTCGCTACTAGGAACAAGTGCATCGCTTCTAGTAACAAGTGCCTTACTAGTAGTAACAAGAAACTACTAGTAACAAGCGGTGTTTTTGTGTTTGTTTCATCCGATGTTTCAAGATCCGGGAAAGACGTACCCGACTTCGTGAATGGCATCTAGACTTGCTACTTGAGGCAATGCGCCTGTGCTCGTTTGCAGAATGCAGATACTCTCCGCTGTTGGAAGCACTTTCTCCGTATTGGGGTGATGTGTCTCGGCTGTGGCAGACTTCAACTGGAATCCCATCGAACCGGTCTCATGTAATGCGGTATACACGTTTTGGAGCTCTTTGAAGCATTTAGGCGGCTGAAGCCGCTTTTGCCTGCCTTGGTGAGCGAAATGCTGAAGCTCGCAGTAAATTTGTGGCTTGGTTCAGGCAGGATGGTAGCTGCTCGAAGGATTTGTCTCAATTGTTTTTTTTGGCAGAAGTATTATAATCTCCTTGCGGTGTCAAACGGAGCATGCAACACATGACAAGTCACATGACATGTCTTTTTTTTAAAAGTAAGTCTTACAGTAAGATTTGAGCCACGCAGTCGCTGCGCAGAATCTAAGGCAGGAGACGGATGCGACTGCCTTCCAGGACGATGCGCGACTGAGTAGAACAGAAAATATAAGGTGTGTTTGTCCTGTTCCTGTTCTTATTTTTGCCCGTTCCTGCTGTATTATGTAGGCGCCTTCGGGATGGTTTGGTTGGTTGCCGTTCGGGATACGACCTGTTTGGAGGCCTTGAAGGCACCACATTATTTGACATATGTTCATAGTGCAATGTAGTGCATTGGTTGGAGAGGTCTCAGTGGTTTTAGTCTTTGAGGCAGAACTTGATGAGGACCGAACTACTTACTAGTAGTAACAAGTGCATCGCTACTTCGCTTCTAGTAACAAGTGCCTTACTAGTAGTAACAATGTTTGCTATTAGGAACAACTTGAGGACCTTTGAACTTGGACGGACCTCAGGTAGTCTCCTGAGTGGTCCACTCTCGCAGTGAGGAGCTTCAGCGGACCTTGGTCTCGATCGTACAAGAAACGCTTCCTCACCCAGAGGCCTCGCTGTTCCCAGAGCCGGGCACAGTGCAGAACGCCAGGTCCCCTGCAGCTTCTAAAGCCTTAAATATATGACGTTCCTTTTTCTAAGAAAGCGCTGTTGCAAGAATGTTAGGAGAAGTTGCCGTGAATATCAGGTTCCATCGCAGGGTGGGGACAAGTCCACCTCCACTGCAAATCAGGGGCAGAACACCAACTAACTACTTAATGGGTTTAAAGGGAAACTTGGCTTTGCTCGTAAGAGCTAAGAGCAGTTCGTTAAAACCAATGACGTGTCACTGCTGGTGGACTGGTGGAGCGTTCCCTTATTTTTTGCTAAGCCAGCTCAGTGGGAGACTTGGCTGCACGCTGTGTCATGCCATGCCATGCTGTGCAGGTTTTGTTGGCCTTTCCTCCTCTGCCAGATCATTTGCGTGGTAGCCGAAATCAGATCGAGAAGGCGGGAATTTGATCCCATCGCTCTCCAACTTGGTAAATAATTGCGTTTATTGTTTTTCCTTTTCTTTTGGCCGTGAAACCGTTCCTTTTCTCTTCCTTTCTTTTTTGTCAAGAAGCATTGCTTCAAACTCACTACCAAGACGGCGAGTGGGCTAGTATCTCTCAGCCCACAATGTTCAAAAAACGTGTTGTTCCGAGCAGCAGGGGGAAAACATTGGAAGACAATGAAGGCCCTTTAGCAGCAACAGGTTTCATGCAGGTTTGGCTTTTGCTTGTATTTCAGAGGCTTTGGGGAAGATGAGCCTACAACAACGCTTGGAGTCCACCACCAAGCAGCTGGAGGTCTCTCATCAAGCGACTTGCTTGCCGACTAGCTCATGGCCTCCAACCTACTAGCGATGGCCTCCACCCTAGAAGCAATGGCCTGCCTCCAAGCGCATGTGTGTTTGGACCTGAGATCCATGGCGATCCGAAGGAGATTTGCTGAGAATCTGAGGCCGTCCGACATGCTATCCTGGAAGGTTTGATGCACTTCTTGACGCAGCAGCGAAAGGCTCGCCTTGATAAGACAAGATCGAGAGGCCAACAAGGACTGCAGAACTGAACTATTCAGTCTTCTCCTGCGCAGAAGACCAAGTTCATGTTGTTTTACTCGATTTGCCTCCTGCAAGACTGGTTCCGGTGAATTTATTGTCAACACTGGCCGGCACAAACCTCCGGTGTTTGTTTTTTCGTATTGATGGTTCAAGTCGGTAGTTGCTTTCCTCAAAGAGTCCGAACCGTCAATTAGGGTGGAGGCCATGGCTACTAGCAACAGGACGCTACTAGTAGGTCTTTGAAGCTTACGAGTAACAAGAAGCTTCCTTGGGAATCGTTTCACTCGGAATCGTTTCACCTGTAGTAACAAGAAGCAAATAAGATGTTTTCTTGACTCTTGCGGCGAGAATTCTGGTGCGAGGCATTCAGTGCTTTGGCTGACCTACCAGGGGATGTCCTTGGAAGGCTGATGAAGATCCTGCTCAAGCTGCTTGTCTTCAATCCTTAAAGCTTTGATTTTTGGACATCTCACTACTCACAACCTGCTCTTCAAAGGCTTTAGGTCGGCATTCTTGACTCCCTAAACCATACAGTCCTACTCCAAACAAGACGCTCGTAGGAGGCCTAAGGGCCATGAATGTTCTTCTTTGGGTTTTAACATCATGGCTTTTGAGGAGTGCGGTATTGCATGCTTGGTTGTTTGCTATGTTTCTTCTAGGCGATACGCTTTTGGGCAGCGTTCGTGTGTATTGCAACGGCTCTTGACCCACGAAAACTAGTACTATAGCGCGTGTGTGAAACCCTTAGAATCACAGAGAATCCTGTCATTTGTTTTTTAGCAGGGGAGTGGAGCAGGCCTGCAGAGCTCCACTTAACAAAGCTCTTTGCAGTGTCCTGAGGATATCACTGGAGACGTCCAGTGACGTACCTGCGATTTCTGTGGTGTTATCAAACTGTCGCGGCTCGTTGCTTTTCGAGACTTTCGATTTCGTTGGCGTTGGAGGCCTCCTGGAATTACAAATGGAGTTGGTTGGACTCCGCTCCACTTTTTGTAGATTTTCGTTCCTGGACTCTTAGGTTTTTACTTAGGCTGGCGAGTGGCAAGCCGCAATCGTGTCAGCACGCAACTTCTCCAGTGTGTGTGTGTGTGCGCGTGCCAAAAGCATTCAAACGAAGAAGGTGCAACACTACCTGAAAGCACCGGTGCCAAAAAAGCCTTTGTTACTCGAGTGACACGTGCACGGTGCACTGATTTTTGTTATCATGTTGCCATGACAACTGCAAGACTACTATAATAGCGCAAGGAACCTAATAGCGACGGCCGCCAACCTACTAGCGATGGCCTCCAAAGCCATTGCTTGCCTGTTCACTTCCAAACCCTTTTTTTGAGAGATGCCGTAAGTTGAGGTTTCTGTCAGAGAGTATTTCACAAGGCTGGTGTTGTTGTGCACTTCCGAATGTTGCAAGTCAGCTGCAAAGGCAAAGACTCATATTTGTCAATGCTTTCGTTTTACAAGTCGGCAATTTTCAAGTATCTGGACGTCAATCATGTGTGATGTGTGGTTCATCCGCCAAGAAAACAATGTGTGCAAGAACAAATTCGGACCACCTTAACCAAGCTCTTTCCAAGGTTGAGACGCCAAACGAGAACGCGTGAGTAGTCGTGTGAGGCAACCGAAGTAGCCAATTACTTTGTGGACAAGTCTTGGGCGCTTTTGGTGCCATTGACCCTGCACGCTTGGCCGGTCAGGCACGGTGTCGTTCGACAGAAATCCTCAAGGCGCTCCATGTTTTAACGTTTGTTTTCGTTTCCTTTTCTTTGTTTCTCTTCTCTTCTCGTCTCTTCTCTTCACGTCTCTTCTCTTTATGTTTCTCTTTCTCTTTCTATTTTCTTTCTTTTTCATTTTTGGTACTCCACTGTTTGAGAAAGCAACGATCTAAGAGAGAAGAGAGAGTGCGTGCACAGAGCTGGCTGTGCAAGGTCTTAGTCGAGCGGCACAATCCAGTCAACGACCACCGCGCTCAGAAAGGCCTTGCGACGGTCAGCTTGAGCTGGGGCGTTCAAGGGTTTTGGGAGTTTAGGGTTTTCTTGTTACTAGTAGCGATGCCCTTGTTACTAGCAGTTTTTTGTTCCGAGTAGTAAGGCCAGGAGCACCCCTAGTAGGAGTACCCCTAGCAGTGTCCTTCCTAGTAGCTTCTTGTTCCCCACATCACCATGTGGGGTTCCAGTCCTTCGCTCTGCACCCGCCGCTCCGCAACCTCCGCCCGCCCGCCTCCGCCGCCGTCGCCGTCTGACACCACTCATCTTACACCACATCTTCCACCACCCATCTCACACCACGTATCTTACACCAATCATCTTACACCACTCATCTTACACCACTCATCTCACACCACTCATTTTACTCACTCATCGTACACCAACTCATCCTACACTACTCATGTTACCCCACTCATCTTACACAACTCATCCAACACAACTCATCTTATACACCACGCATCTTACACACACATCACACACAACTCATCTTACGCCAGTCATCTCACACACTCATTCTACACACCTCATCACACCCCACTCATCTTACACAACTCATCACAACCCACTCATCTTACACCACACTCATCACAGCCCACTCATCTCGCACAACTCATCGCACACCACTCATCTTACACCACTCATCACACCCCACTCATCTTCAACCACTCATCACACACCACTCATCTCATACCACTCATCTTACACCACTCATCTTACACAACTCATCACACACCACTCATGTTACACCACTCATCATACACAACTCATCACGCACCACTCATCTTACACCACTCATCACACCCCACTCATCTTCAACCACTCATCACACACCACTCATCTTATTCACGTTTATCGCCCAGTATCTGTCCGTCCTCTTTTCTTATCAGTCTCTACTTATTGTTGCTAGTTCTTACAAGCTTAACATTTGGGGTTATCCGGTCCTTTTATTACCAAAAGTTTTTCAGGCGCGTCGCTCTTCTGCAGGCGAAGTTGAGTTGGCGAAGTCCGTTTTAGAAGATTTCTTGGCGCCTCACTTGACCAACAACTCCTTTGCATTTGCTGCACAGGAGAGGGTAGATATTTCGTTTTCTGCCTAAGTTGTGGATGTTTGGTTGCCGGCAAGGCGGTCTTGATGAACTTGATGGGACCCTATTCTTTTTGATGACTCGGACCGGGCCTTTCCGATGAGTGTCCACCTGTCAGTCGGTCCAATCGATAGGAGATCTTCAGCCATTTGAAGAGCGCTGGCAAAGAGCAGCAGGTTTGGGAAAAGCTTCATAAGGACACCAAACTTGCTGGCGAGGCAGTTGGACTAGTGCCAGCAATCCCATCAATGTTCAACCGTGCAGCATGAACCTTGACAAAGTCCTGCCTTCTCACGCCAGAAACTTGAAAAATTGCCGGACTGGCAAGCCTTCTCGCAGCTAGCCAGTGTGTCTCGAGATCCGCCAGGATGCAAGAGAGGCGCTGAATCCATATCGCACCAGCAAATATCAGCACCTGAGATCATTTTGAGAGATGTTTTTGAGAGCACACGTTCTTAGACCCAGTGAATTTGCAGCCAAGACTTGACCGTCTACCCGGTTTGCCTCGTAGTCCGACCCCCTCATGGAATTGCAACCTTTTTGCTCAGACGACCCGGACATTTTGTTGTTTTGTTTGTTTGAGCTCTAAGGAACCTTAGTGGAGACTTGCTTTGCAGCCCAACCAGCTTTGAAGGTGCTGAATCTGCACTTGCTGCACAATGTGTTCTGTTGCTTTGCTGTCGTTTCTGTCGTTTCACCTTTTCATCGGATCAGGTGCTCTAGAGGAAGCCACCACACTGCTACCCGTGGAGCGGAAGGCTTTCTTCCAGGCAATGGGCAGATCACAAAGGCTTAGAGTTCATGCAAACTAGTAGCGTCTTTGCTAGTAATTAGTAACAAGGGCATCGCTACTAGTAACAAGGGGCATTACTACTAGTAGCAAATAGCTACTAGTAGCGATGCCCTTTGTTAGAGGAATGATCCACTAGGAGGTGTTCTGTTTTTGGATGACGCTTTGTGTGGAGTTGACCTCACAACACGGGGCATTCCTCCGTGTGCATCCCGCGTTCCTGCGTTCCTAGGCATGTTTGCCAGCTGCCCCTGGGAACCATACCTTGGCGCTCTTCCTGATGCATCACGTGCCGACCTTGTTTTCCGTAGAGACGCTAGTCAACGACGAGCTGAGCAAGCTAGATAGATTCCGGTGTCAATTTGGCACGCTAGTGGCTTTGTATAATCTAGAGCATCCTGAGCCATCCGCAAGGAACACGTGATTTGCAGGTGTTTTTGAGGTGATGAATATGAGTGCCCACAGTCCATCCCGACACATTCAGTTGATCACAGTATCATGTTTTTGAAAGCCGGGTAAATGTACGTCAAGAAGAGGATGAAGCAGGAGCTCAGCTGAGGCTTTGCAGGAGCTGATCATGGCACCAGAGTTATCGTGCTCGGACTTGGCCAGCTTGGCCAAGAAGCTGGTTGATTTGCTGACCTTCACAGGCACAACACTGGGGCTGCGCTGCAGGTTGCATGTAGCGCAGCTGAGTCATGAGTATAGTATCGTCCTTGCTCCTAGATATCAGAAATGAACAATATATTTTCCCGTTGAGAGGTCAGCCTTGGAGAGTCAAGCCACATCTTCAAAAACGGAAAAGGAAAGACTGGTGCGTTCAAAGACAAATGAGAAATCGACCGATGCGATGTTGTCAGCTGTACCAACTACGTGTTATTACAGAGCAATCGTTTATTCTTCACCATGCAATGTGCAATCCGGTTGGAAGAAGATTGGAAAATACCTTTTACATTGAGGCGGTTCTTGTGTTTCTTTCTCCACTCATCGACTTGTGAAATGGCTTTCAGGGAAAGATGCGCCTGAAAGCCAAGAAACTGCGACAGCACAGGCAGCACCTAGGCCGCATGGGGGTTGCTCTCTTCTGTGATACTTCTGACCTTTCCATGGGTCTTTTCTTTCATTTTATTCTTTAAACTGATTGAATCCATTATATCATTCATTTCTTATTTACATGTCTTCTTTCCATCTATTCGGTTCTTTATGTTTTTCGTTTATGGTTTCATTCTTTAAATGAAGTAAATTCATTTGTATGTTGTGCATTTTCTTGCATTGTTCATTCTTCTGTTTCTACAGGAATTCTGAGGTCTTTACCACAACGTTCGGACTGTTAGACTGAGGTGTTTTCGTTGCTCGACAGTCTTTTCCAGAAGAAGGACTGAACGGCGAAATTTGGCAAACTAGTAACAAGGGCATCGCTACTAGTAAAGGCGGGTTACTAGTGGCTCCTGCCCTTACTACTAGGAGCAGGGACGCTGCTAGTAACAAAGGGCATCGCTACAAGAAACAAGGCGCGTTACTACTAGGAGCAAATAGCTACTAGTAGCGTCCTTGCTCCTAGTAGCGATGCCAGGAGCCCCTAGTAGCGTCCTTGCTCCTAGTAGCGATGCCCTTTGCTCCTAGTAGCGTTACTACTAATTAGTAGCAAGCAAATGATGTTTCTTTTTAGGGGGGTAGGCCGAGTAGAGGTAGGTAGGTAGTAGGAACTGAGGTAGCTATTAGCTCAAGTAGCGACTTCTTAGGACGCAGGAGTGCTCGCACTATTCATTTGGTTCCTAGATTTTAGGGAAACTTACCGATTTGGTGAAGTAGCTAGAAACTACTAGTGACAAAGGGCATCGCTACTAGTAACAAGAAGCTACTAGTAGCAAAGGGCATTACTACTAGTAGTAGCTCCCCTCTGCTAGTAACAAGCACATTACTACTAGTAGCAAGAAGATACTAAGTAGTAGCGATGCACTTGTTACTAGTAGCGATGCACTAGGCTATGCGGAGGTTAAGCTGAGGACATTTGGAACCCTCGATCTACTTCAGACTGTTTGTACATAGGCGGAATTGACATCGAAGACATCGTGCGAGGTCTGGATGAATAGAAGGCTTCTTGCTCCTAGTAGTAAGGCCAGGAGCCCCTAGTAGCGAACCTTGTTACTAGTAGCGATGCACTTGTTACTGGAAGCGATGCACTTGTTCCTAGTAGCTTCTTGTTACTACTAGTAAGGCACTTGTTACTAGTAGCGATGCACAGAATGCAGGACTCTAAAAAGGCATGTGCATTTTAAGCCGTGATCTTCAGGAGGAGATCAATACAACACCCAGCAGTCGTGCTGGTGACGAGACCTGGAAAAAGCGGCAACTACAACGCATTGTGCTTCAGCTTCAAAAGCCAAAGGGAGCAATGTTCGCTACTAGGGGCTCCTGGCATCGCTACTACGAGCAAGGACGCTGCTAGGAACAAGGACGCTACTAGGGGCTCAACTCCAACCTAAAGAGCGATGGCCTCCAACCTAGGAGCTAAAGTCTTTGATTTTCTCACTGTGTTTCAGAGCAAAAGGGTCAAAAATCCATTCCAGCGGCAAGGGTCCCGGTAGAAGACCTCAGACCTGGGTGGAAGAGGGACGAAGAGGGACCAGGAAAGAGAAGGGAAGGAACAGAAAGGGGAAGAGGAAGGGGAAAGAGGGGAAGGAAAGAAGGAAGGAAAGACCCTTGTTACTAGTAGCGTTGCCCTTGTTACTAGTAGCGAAAGGAAGGAAGGACAAAAAGACATGGACAGGGTGTTTCGACTTGCATTCTTATTGTTTGTGGCAAGGGTGCTCAAGGGGGGGCCAATACCTAAGTGCTTTCCTCTCAAAGTGCTGTAAAGGTGTAAAGGGAAAGCAATGGAAAACATGTGTGTTTTCAGTTTGCCAAATCCAACACATCTTAGGAGGCGCTTTGTGGACCTTTTTCCTTTCGCTTGGTCCTCAACGCAGCACTACGCTGCGGTGCCCATGCTCGAGCACTTCAGTTTCTCGAGATGGAGTTGGAGGTGCAAACATGCGGGAACAATGCCACGTTGTGGAACGATGTGGAACTCAATCTTTGGAAAGAACAAAAACACAAATGAAAACAAACAGACATGTGACATGTGTTTTTTTGTTGTTGTTTCCTTTTTTTATTTCTACTTCGTTGATTCTAGTCAAATGTCTTTGCAAGTCAAAGCATTGACCCCGGACTCCCCAAGGGCTTGTGGGGACGCCAGAAGATTCTGGGGACTGTCACTTCAGCTTACGTAACTCAATGATGTTTCCAAAATTGCAAGCTTACAGCAAAGAAGCGTCACCGTGTCAAGTGTCAAGAGTTTGGGTACAGAGTTACACTAGAGAGGATGTCATTCAGTTTATGCAATGTTTCTTGTTGGAGGCCATCGCTCTTAGGGCGGAGGCCATCGCTACTAGGGTGGAGGCGATCGCTACTAGGTTGGAGGCCATCGCTTTCAGTTCAAACAGAACCGGCCATGACGCGAGGCCACCTGTGGGGAACGGAGCTTTGCTGAAGGAAGCCGCTTGGGTGAGGCGGACTGTGAGCTACTACAGCAGATCTACCATGAACTAGGCGCGACTCGCGGCGAGACCGGACGCCTGCCGAGACTGGACTGAGTCTCGCAAGGAGGGTCTCTAAGGGTAGGTAATGGTTCCTAGTAGCTTCTTGTTACTACTAGTAAGGCACCTGTTACTACTAGCGATGCACTTGTTCCTAGTAGCTTCTTGTTATTAATTAGTTTCATTCCACAGGTGAATATCATGGTGAAGAAGGGATGCTGCAAATGGAGCTGGAGAGATAGATGAGTATGGAGTTGGGAAGGAAGCGTGGGACTAAAACGACGGCCTCGTGGTCAACTCAAATCGCTATAAAAAGGTAACTACGTTTAGTTCCGGCCACAGCAGCGTGAGCTGTTCGTTTGAAGGTGTTCGGACATTCTTGGTTTCCACCACCATTGTGAGGAGTAGCTTGTTGAGCCGTCAGGGGTAGAAAAGATCAACTTTGGCATTTCGGCAAGCTCAGCAGCACGGGAAGTATATAGCTGGTCATGAGTCATGGTCTAGAAATCATGTGCTGTTCAACCGTTATTGCTACCTGTCGTATATTATAAGGGGTAGCGATGAGAAGTTCAGGACCCAAGATCCAAGTAGCATTTTGTTAATTCTCGATAAAAGAGTAGAAGCACGAGGCCCATTTTAACATGACTTGGAACGGTTAGTAGCACTTTGAGCGAGGACTTTCAGTGTCCTGTACTGCCAGTGCGGCAACATCAGGTGAGCCAGATGGTGTTGTGGGTGCAATACGTATTGGGCCAAACGACAGGAGCCGCATCAACATGTTGTTGGAAAGACACCTCGGGGTGGCCAGAAGACTAAGTGGAGCTTGTTAGTTGTAAGTTATAACCGAGTTAGGGGTAGATTTGTTTGTGCAGTCCTGCTTTTTGGTTTTGGACAGCGCCCTCAAGGTTTGAGGAGTCGCTTTTCCGACTTGCTCGTTGTGCACGCGCCCTTGTCTCCGCCCCCTGGAACTGTCCACGGCGACCGCTTGTTTCCACGATTTTAGACCTGTTTGAGAGCGCGTTTCATTTGCATGCTGGCTGGTTGAGCTTTCCTTCTGCATTCTTCAGAGTCCAAGCTTTTATAGCCTGGCTGCAATAGAATTTGTGCTCAGGTTTTCCTTTCATTGTGATGTGGGTGTTCCTTTGTAAATGTCAATTCACTGCTGTGCACTTGCTTTTTTGATGTTCCTGTTATTTGTTTTTCCTACAGCCTGTAAATCAACAAATGGTAATTTACACATGTTTATACAACTGATTGTCGTGCTTTTTGGGGGTTCTTGTGCTTTTTGGTGTTTTTGTATGTTCCGTCATACATTGCTTGCTTGTCTTTGATCTTCCTCAGCGTTCCCAGCTTGACATGCTGTCTCGGTCACGTTGCATTGTGTCTTGTTGCATTGTGTCTTGTAGATCGCAGCCACAACTTGCAACACGTTGCTTTTGACCGAACATTGCTGGACGTCTGAAAGGTTTCGCCTAAACTTAATTACTTACTAGTCGCTTCTTGTATCTTCTTGTTACTACAGGTGAAACGATGCCCAGTGAAACGATTCCCTTTGTTTCATTCACTTTCCTTGGAATTTGATGTTTTTGCTCGTGGTGCGTGCTCGCGCTGGCGAGTTTGGCCTCAAAGTCCCATGCAACGATCAATCTACACTTCCTGGCGTCAAAACACCATGCCAGCATCGACTAGCGATGGCTTCCAACCCACTAGCGATGGCCTCCAACCTAAGAGCGATGGCCTCCATAGTAGTTGTTTTTGGGTTGTTGGGTCGTTGGGTTTGTCAAATCCTGGCAGGACAAGAACATCCGAGCTCGAACTGCAGGGCCGCTGGTCTGATATGCAGGCAGATGCGAGTTGTGAAATTGCGATGTGTACTACTGTACTACCTGACATTTGCAGATAACTCTACTAGACCTTTCTTCCTCTTTGTGTTCTTTCTCTTTGTTTCTACTAGCAATGGCCTCCAACCTAATTGCGCTGTGTGAGCCTCCAGGCTTGACCGTATCGGTGCCAGGCGTCCTACGAGCAAATGGCTGGGCATGACCGTTCGAAAGCCCTGTGCGGTCTCGTGAAATGTTCACAGGCATGGCGACGACCTGCAACCTTGGCGACGGATGTTCCAAAAGAATGGTGTTGGACCGCAAAAGAACATGCTTAGCCTAAACATCACCAAAATACAGATTCGGAACTTTAAATATGTTTGCAGCATCTTCTTTGATCTCCTTTGCACATGTCCACCAAGAGATGCCTTTAAAGAAAGATTTCACACTCATATGGCGTTTGTGTGCAGGCCATGTGTCGCTTCGAAAGCTCCTTGCAGCTGATCAGTGGCATTCGACAGGAGAGGACTATGAAAAAAGGATGTTGGAAAAAACTTTGCCCCATGAATGTAGAAGTTCATAACGGTCATACACAATCATAGCTCGATCGATGCATCAAACCGGAGACATCCAGGCATCAGACATAACATTGCAAAAAAGAATATCGATCACTAATCACTAATAGCAATGGCCTCCAATCTAAGAGTGATGGCCTGCCCCTAACAGGAACAATTGCAGAAAAAATAAATCAAATGCAGATGTGAGCTGAGCGGAGTGGGTGCGCACTAATTCAGGAACTCCCCGAGCTCACGGAGCATTTGCAGCCAAGGTCGGTCGAGGCGGGGGGCAGCGGGGTTGGTCCGGGGGGCATTGGCTGAGGTCGTTGGAGGTAATTATGTGTGAAAGTGTGTGTGTTGATCGCTATGGGAATGGCAGCATCACCCACAACAAAGGGGTTTGAGAAGAGAGACCAAATTTCATTTGTCGCAGACCAACAAAGAAGCTGACGTGGTTGGCACCCTGATGCAAAAAAACACCAATCTGACAACATCACATTTCATTTCATAAACCCTGCCTTTGTATTTGCAGCACCTTTTATTTGAAACACCTCCCTTTCCTTCAAACAATATTTTTCCATATGCAGTCTGCTGATGTTCGATTGAGGCGGCGTGGCAGCTTAGCAGTTGGCAGCGATTGGAGGAGGCGTTGGAGGCCAGGGAGTAAGCTCCTAGCTACTTAGGTTTCTATTAACTGGATGCAGGATAGTTCACGCTTCTGCATGGAAGCTCCCCACATGTTTAGGGAACTTAATTCCTTTGTGAAAGACGAGCGAAAGAAAACCTAAAAGACGAGGTCGGGGGTAGATTGCAGCCAAGCGTTCTTCGGACGGCAAGGCTCCAGGAGACCAGATTGCAGCCAAGGACTTCCAGGCCAAACATGATAGCCATGAGAGAATTCTATTGAGAGCATACCGATCGGGTTCTTGTCAAGAAAAGTTGATGAGAAGGTTTTAGGGTTGGAACGGTTGGACGCTCTAGTTTATTCTCGAGTGTTCCCTGGTGACTCTTGGTAGATCGAAGTTTTCTGTGCAGATTCTCCAATTTGATGTTTTCCGTCACTAGGAACAAGTGCATCGCTAGTAGAAACAAGTGCCTTACTAGTAGTAACAAGAAGCTACTAGAAACAAGTGCATCGCTACTAGTAACAAGTGCCTTACTAGTAGTAACAAGAAGCTATTAGTTTGATGTCCAAATCAAGCTCGTAGCAAGTCGGACACAACTTCCTCTTGAACATTTAGCTAATGGTGATGCACTTCCTCCTAGTAGCGATGGCCTCCACCCGGCCTCCAACCTACTAGCGATGACCTCCAGCCTAAGAGCGATGACCTCCACCCTAAAAGCGATGGCCTCCAACCTACAAGCGATGGCCTCCAACCTACTAGCGGTGGTCTCCAACCTAAGAGCGATGACCCCCAACCTACTAGCAATGGCCTCCAACCTAATAGCAATGGCCTCCAACCTGATAGCGGTGGCCTCCAACTCACTGCCGATGGCCTCCAACCTAATAGCCATGGCCTCCAACCTAGTAGCGATGGCCTCCAACCTAATAGCGATGTCCTTCACCCTGTTAGCGATGGCCTCCAACCTAATAGCGATGGCGTCCACCCTAATAGCGATGGCCTCCAACCTAGTAGCGATGGCCTCCACCCTAATAGCGATGGCCTCCAACCTAGTAGCGATGGCCTCCAACCTAATAGCGATGGCCTCCAACCTAATAGCCATGGCCTCCAACCTAGTATGGCCTCCAACCTAATAGCGATGGCCTTCACCCTGGTAGCGATGATGGCCTCCAACCTAGTATCTTCTTGGTCCTAGTAGTGACGCCAGGAGCTGCTAGTAGCTTCTTGCTACTAGCTTCCTCTTGAAGAATCCCGAGTCAAATCCGCTGGAGGTTCAAATCAAGTCGGAACACAACTTCCTTTTGAACATTTAACTACTGGCGATGCACTTGCTCCTAGTAGCGCTGGCCTCCAACCTCAAGTGTCCCTAAAAATCTAGAAAACAAATCATTAGAAGTGCGAGCTCTCCTGCATCCCAAGTAGTCGCTATTTAAACTACTAGTGACTCCCTAGCTACTAGCATTAACGTCCTCCTTTCGTTTCCTGAATGAATAGAATCCGGAGGTTCAGCTGGGCGATGTGCTGTTGCACCTCCATGGCCGTGATGAAGTGAAGCTGCAGCAACGAATACAAGAGACCACTGTAGAGGCAGGAACAAGTGCCACGCTACTAGTAACAGGTGCCACGCTACTAGTAACAGGTGCCACGCTACTAGTAACAGGTGCATCGCTACTAGTAACAAGAAGCTATTAGTAACAGGTGCCACGCTAGTAGTAACAAGAAGCTAGTAGGAATAAGTGCTTTACTACTAGCAGAGGCAGGGTGTTTTTGCAGCATGCATGGTCCCTTTAGTTATGTGTTTTTTGTAGACGGTCTTTTTTTTGTTGTTTAGACCTTTTCCGGTGGTTTTTGTGTTTTGCTTTGCTTTTTTCATTTACTTTCTTTACATCCCTTTTAGTTCTTGGACTCAATTACTTGCTACTACTTGATCATTTTTCACAGGGCTTTGAAAGCCAGTCCGGAGCCAGTCCGGAACACCTTCCCGAATCCTCCTGTTGCACCAACGAGAAGGTGAAGTTGCTCATTCAGGGGCAAAGGACGCTACTAAGGGCTCCTGGCCTTACTACTAGGAACAGGAAGCTACTAGTAACAAGGGCATCGCTATTAGTTAAGGTCTTGTTGGACCATCAAATTGCTTTCAATCTCATGGAATGCAGGATCCTTGAGCATTCACTAGTAGTATTATTAGTGGCATTCTTGCGAGGGCAAATAAGGCCAAGACCTAACAACTTTGTAGAAAGAAACGTCTATGCTCTCCCATTTTTGAAGGTTTGTGCCTGTTCTATTTCTGGTTACTGGACCTAGAGTCTTTTTATGTTCCAGGCTGTTTGCAGATGTTTGCAGCCAATATCTCCTTCGTCGTCCATCTTCAGAAAAGCCAGGTCGCCTGTGCTGCATCTTTAGCAGCACGAGAGTCTTACACCAGAGCTTACCAGCATATCCTTCGTGGGGGTTCCTAGCTGCATTGCAATGCTCAAACACATAGATTAGATGGAACATGGAACCTCGGCTGGTGCAAACTATCTTCAAGCCGTTTGCTGTGCTTCATTTTGCATCATTAGGCCTCCACGTGCTTTCAGATCTGCAATGGTTGAGTCAGAAACGGCAGGACACATGACACATGAGCCTGCAGAAGCTTCAAGTACATCTTGGTTTGCCAAATTTTGAGGAACATGAATGCTTGTTTGCACATGTTGATTTCAAAAGAAATGAATACTTAGGCCTGATACATAGAGTAGTTACACATGAAGCATGTCTTGCTTGGCTGATTCTGACTGCATGTTTGCCATATTTGCGGGAGGAGCCTGGCATTGCACAGAACCTTCTGAACCGCTGTGTGCCTCAGCGATGGATCATTGTTTCACCTGCCCGATGTGCCGATGTGAATGATGCTATACTACTAGCGTGGCACTTGTTACTAGAAGCGATGCACTTGTTACTACTAGCGTGGCACTTGTTACTACTAGCGTGGCACTTGTTACTAGTAGTAACAATAAGCTATTACAATCAAACTAAACTTAAGTTAAATTAATAGCTTCTTGTTACTACTAGTAAGGCACTTGTTACTAGAAGCGATGCACTTGTTACTACTAGCAATGTATTTGCTATTCAAGTTGTTCACGCTTGCCGGGTTTTATTCATGTATTCCGTTTGCTACTAGCTCTTGGCATAGCTACTCTTTACTAGGTTACTAGGAGCAAGAAGCTATGTGAATACGCCTCAGCTCCATACATGCTCACAGTGGCCAAGGCTCCAACAATAGTGTCTTTGCAAAGTTATGCTTCGACACGGGATGAGTGAGACCTAAGCTGTCAGGATATCACGACCCCTTCATTCAGTGCACGGCAATCTCTCTTGGCACCACTACGTGTGGCCTTGCAGGAGTCTGTCTTCCGTGTGTTGAAACCTTGGTAATTTCTTGCAGGCTAGATTTGCATCCAACACAAGTGTGTTCACCTTGCTTCTGGCTTCTGTTGGCAATCTAGCAGTGCACCTTATTTTCAAGATCGAGCGCAATCGAAAGACAATAGACTGTGAAAGAGGAATTGTCAGGATTGTGCAGAAAGCCATTAAGAGTTGAAAGTTATGTTTCTTTCTAAAGACGAAGCTCCCAGCACGTTCCGAGTTCCTCCCAGCTCTGGGGACCTGCAGGACCTGAACCTTCGCAATGAAGCGAAGAGCATTGAGTTGGCCTTTTCACGTCTTTGTGGCTTTGAGTGAAGATGGAGGACCTCGCTACTAGGAGCGATCGGACGCTACGTTCGGGGCTCCTGGCCTTACTACTAGTAACAAGAAGCTATTAGAAACAAGTGCCTTACTAGTAGTAACAATAAGAATTTAATTGGAATTGTAATTACTAGCAAAGGAATCCGCGCGCGCGCGGGGGGGGTAGGATGCTACGTTCGGAGCAAAGGGCATCGCTACTAGGAACAAGGACGCTATGTTCGGGGCTCCTGGCCTTACTACTAGGAACAAGGACACTGCTAGGGTGGAGGCCATGAAGATCCCAAGAGACATCAGCAACAGCTACAACTGAATTCTCTTTATAAGAAAGAAAGGAAGACCGCAGAAGGAAGACAGAAAGGTCCGAAGGCTGGGGTTTCCCTAAATTCCCCAAATGAATAATGAGACAGCTTGCCTCTCTGCTTCCGCAAGTACCTAGCACCTCTTCACGCCCTACCACCGTCGGAAACAGAATTGAATGTAAATGCAACTTCTTGATGAGAGAAAAAACGCAAGCTTGTTCTTTTTCTAACTTGGATTTGGTCACGAAGTTGAAGAGAGTAGACAGTAGACAGCTTGGGTGATGTTCATGAGTTCTCTCACTTTTAAACATTGCTTGTGTGTCTGTTAGCGATATTTAGAAAAAAGAAACCATTATCTAGAGCAAAAGACATGTGAGCTTAGTTTTGCCAAGCAAAAGCTGACCGTGAAAAAAGGATGAACAGAATCCATCTCAGCTTCCGGAGAGGAACTGAACGGGCGAAATCCTTTAAGGCCGGAAGCACAATGAGACGATGCTCATGGAACATCCAGACAGCAGTTCCACTCTCAGTTTTGAAAGATAAATGCTTCCAACTTAATTGCAAGGAATAAGTCGAATAAAAGACGTTGAAAGAAGCGAAGAATTCGAGGCAAAGGGAAGGCCCCCGATTCAAAGACTTACCTTATCTTACCTTCTAAGTTGGCATTCAGGCCTATAAAGCTTTGGTGGTTGCACTGCAAGCGTTCTTGTTGGTAATAGTTAGCCCAAGAAAGCATGCCTTTCGAGAACCGCTATTGTTCTCGATATCTCATACGACATGTGAAGTCCACATTCCTTGGGACTCTTTTCACTGGGAATTGTTTCACCTGTAGTAATAAGAAAGCTTTCTAGTGTGTCTTTGAAGCCTCTTAGTAACAATAAAGCTTTCTAGTAACTAGAAGCTACTAGGTGGAGGCCATCGATAGGAGGTTGGAGGCCATCGCTACTACTGTTGTAACAAGAAAGCTTTCTAGTAACTAGAAGTTTCCTTGGGAATCGATTCACGATCACGTCAGGCTTTCAAGGCACTTCCAGTGACTTGATGGTGTCTGCACAGCTTGAGTGGGGCAAGCCCGGCTCTTACCTGGTTTTACTAGCATTGTTCTGTGTGGAGTGAAGCTATGAGTTCCAAAAAAGCCCATTTGCACTTGTTCATATAACACAAAGTTGTGTCCTTGATTGCTGCTTTGTTGCCCTGAAAAGGGACAGTACATTGCAATTGCTGCCATAAAAGAGAAGATGTAGTCCTCTTGGGGGACTGCTGATAAATTTGGAATTTCAGAACATGGAAATATGCACCTGGTCACTGCTTTTAGGATCCTCTATGCTCGTGGCGCGCGGCATGAGGCTTTGCGACACATGTGACTCGGCCAAAGTCTCCTTGGTCAGTTCGTTCACCATTGACCGATGTGACTTTTCATAGGTCGAAGACATAGCTTCTTGTTACTAGTAGCTTCTTGTTCCTAGTAGCGATGCCCGGGTTCCTAGTAGCT